CTTACCTTTATGGTCCCAGAGTATCCCCTATCTACCCCCTTACTGAGCTCTTATTCTCTAGTGTAACTGTTTACCTGCCTAGTTTCTATATTAAATCATGAGATCGTTGATGGTAGTAAGGTTTGTGCTGTGTGGTTGTACCCTCAGCACTATGTGTACAGCTAGCACACGGGAGGTGTTAAATGTTTGTTTAATTAAGTAATGAGAACGGTAAGTATGGGTTGTGTTAATCAAGAAGGATGGATTGTATAAGGTTTAAGGTAGACTTCGGCAAAGGAAAATGATTTAAATTGGTTGGTAAGAGAAAGTATTCCACACCGTGTGAGCAACAAAAGAAACTCAGGTCTACCTAAAAAAGGAAGAGTGTCAGAGAAGGATAAGTGATCTCACTTGATCTAATAGGTAAGTCTCTGTTCTAAGCAAGAATAGCAACGATGTACTGGGTGATTATAGCACAAGGATAAATGGAACGAATGACGGCGGTGTTATAAGGAATGGAGAGAAGAATTGGGACTATTCTGTTAAAAGATACTTGCCATACCCATTAGGCAGTGTAGTGTTTATTGAAAGTAGACTTAGATTCGCTGTAAATGTATATTGCAAACTCTAGGGCAACCACTTTTTAAAAAATTTTATAAGTATAATTGATATGCTAAGAAAGGAATGAAACTGAAGGAGAGAAACTGACTCATAAAATTCTCACCTAAAACCAGAAAAGACAGAAAAAGAATGGAAGATTTCAAAAAGACAAAGAAGTAAAACAACGGCAGTGAACAGAAAACTTTACAAATGTGGTAGATGTTAAGCCAACGATGTCAGTAATTCGTTAAAACGTGAATGGTCTAAGTGTACCAGTTAAATGATAGAAACTGTCAGAGTAGATAAAAGACAAGAGCTAATTATATACTGTCTGCAAGAAACTTCCTGTAAATATAAAAACACAGATAGATGAAATGTAAAGGGATAGAGAAAGATACATCATACTAACACTAATCGAAAGAAAGCTGGGAGTGTATATATGTCAATGCTGGGAGTGTATATATGTCAATGCTACTCTCTCACTTCGTCCCAGCTTCCCATCCCCCGCCCTCCACCCCTGCCACAGTGTCCTCAAGTCCATTCTCTATGTCTGCGTCTTTATTCCTGTCCCGCCCTTAGGTTCATCAGAACCATTTTTGTTTTTAGATTCCATATATATGTGTTAATATAGAGTAATATCTTTTTCTGACTTCTTCACTCTATATGACAGACTCAAGGTCCATCCACCTCATTACAAATAACTCAATTCCGTTTCTTTTTATGGCTGAGTCATATTCCATTGTATATATGTGCCACATCTTCTTTAACCATTCATCTGTTGATGGGCACTTAGGTTGCTTCCATGTCCTGGCTATCGTACATAGTGCTGCAGTGAACGTTGTGGTGCATGACTCTTTTTGAATTATGGTTTTCTCTGGGTATATGCCCAGTAGTGGGATTGCTGGGTCACACGGTAGTTCTATTTTTAGTTTTTTAAGGAACCTCCATACTGTTCTCCATAGTGGCTGTATCAATTTACATTCCCACCAGCAGTGCAAGAGGGTTCCCTTTTCTCCACACCCTCTCCAGCATTTATTGTTTGTAGATTTTTTGATGGTGGCCATTCTGACCGGTGTGAGGTGATACCTCATTGTAGTTTTGATTTGCATTTCTCTAATGATTAGTGATGATGAGCATCCTCTCATGTGTTTGTTGGCAATCTGTAAAATAGATAGCTAGTGGGAAGCAGCTGTATAGCACAGGGAGATCAGCTCGGTGCTTTGTGACCTAGATGGGTGGGATAGGGAGGGTGGGAGGGAGACACAAGAGGGAGGGGATATGGGGATATATGTATACGTATAGCTGATCCACTTTGTTATACAGCAGAAACTAACACAACATTGTAAAGCAATTATACCCCAATAAAGATGTAAAAAAAGAAAAAAAAGCTGGAGTAGCTGTGTTCATTGGCTTGTTTTCTTATTGTTGAGTTGAAGAGCTCTTTATTTTGGATGCAATTCCTTTATCAGATGAATGTTTTGCAAATATTTTCTCTCAGTGCATGGCTTGTCTTTTTCTTCTTTTAAGAATGTCTTTCACAGAGTAGAAGTTTTTAATTTTAATGAAGTCCAACTTAACCATTTTTTCTTTCATGGATTGTTGTTTTGGTGTCATATCTAAAAAGTCATTCTGAATAGCACAGGGAACTCTATTCAATACTCTGTAATGACCTATATGGGAAAATAATCTAAAAAAAACCGGAGTGGATAGATGTGTATGTATAACTGACTCACTTTGCTGTACAGCAGAAACTAACACAACATTGTAAATCAACTATACTCCAATAAAAAAATTAATTAAGAATAAAAGTCACTGCCACACCTAACATCACCTAGATTTTGCTCATGTTATGTTTTGTTTTAATATGAGAAAGAGAGAAAGGAAAGTTGAAGATGGTGGTGTAACCGTTTTATGGAATGAGCTAGCTTTGATAAGCTCCATATAAGCAGGAAGCAAACATTATCCTTCTCCTACTACTGCCCTTTAAACTCACATGGCACACATCTCTCTACCGAGGCTTTTCTAGTCACTTTCATCTATTAGCCTTGTCTCATTTTTAGATATTAAGTCCAATCTAAATCAATACCTTCATCTAGCATGCAATTAAACCTTGCCCTTTCTCCCAGCTCAGACTAGGTCTGCTAATTTTTAGACAAGCCAAGGGAAACAGGGGCATGATAAATGCTTCCATCTTGTTCTTTTACTTCTCTTCCCCAACTCATAGTTTCTGGTATCTTCATAGGTGTGGCTAGGAGTGGGAAAGAGTTAAGGAGTTAAGAGTGAAGGTGAGAATCCGTCATCAGTCTCTGTACTCCCCTGAAATGCCAGAAGGTAGAGGTCAAGTAGATTCAAGGATTCTCTTGCCTTACACAAGTTGCGACACAGCAATGGGAGGGCCAATACATTTCTGTTACTCTGTAGGTATAAGGGGGTTGGGGGAACCATGGCAGGGAGTGATGAGATGTTATCTTCTCCTTGTGGCATACACTCCTGTTCTCTGTAGATGGTTCTCTGAGAATCCCCCTCACTTGGTTTGAGGTCGGGGTAAATCCTCCTCTACCCACCACAAGGAGGGGAAGATCGGAGAAACACACAGCACACCAATAGCTCAATTCAGAAGAAATCCTCTCTGCGAATGTAGATCAACCTCTAGCCATCTCTCATATACAGACAACAGGTGAGACTTGGGCTTGTTTTGGCCATCTCTTTGCAAATCCTGCCTTAATGAATCTCTTATCTTCTCATCAGAATGCTGAGGTCCTCATCATTTATTGTACTCAACTGAGATGATGGACAAAAATGTTATTTAACATTCTGTCACAGAAGAAAGAGAAAGCACGATTTGATATAGTGAGGTCCCTAAGAATGCAGACACAGTGCATTTTCTGGACCTAAGAGAGATAAGAATACTTCTGGTTGTAACCTGAGTGAACTCGTGGTACCCTGTAGCCAGTATCAGCATGTTATCATGTTCCAAAGCCATCTTGGTCTGATACCTGGCTTTGAAAAGAAATGTAAATCTTTGCTCAAAAAGTTTCAAATGAGGAAGTGATAATGATAAATAGCGAAACTTCACTGAGTCATTTTTACCTCTCCATATTGCCAGAGTTTTCTGTGGCAACTGCTCAAAAATCTCCCTTTATGTCCTACTCTTCTTCATCCATTCTGTTCTTCCAGGAGTAGCCCCCTCATCTTTCTGAATCTAATACAATTTAGCCTTCCTGATTCTCCAATTGTTCATGCAAACTTTATCCCAGTAAGGTAAGCAAAAGTCCTGATAGCTGAGTGAGTGTATACAGAAATGTTTTTATAAGGTGAGAGAGGGTGAGTGGATAAAGAAAAGCTATGAATGCTGAGACGTTAATAGTTCTGCCCCTGACACCTTGATAAACATAATCTAATTCTGCCTTATTTTTTTTTTTCTGGTTTAGGAAAGACTGGTGAAACTAAGCTACCACGTGTACGGTTCATTCCAGATAAAACCGCTTCATTTGAAAGAGATAAAACTAGTTTTTCTGATGTTCCAAGAGATCAGTCACAACCCCCTGTTAATATTCGAAATCTCTTTCTTGATCATCGTGTACAAAAAAGAGTGACTACTATTTCAACAACCACAAAATCTTCTAAGCATGTCTATTGGCACATTCCAGAGACTGCTACTGGTTCCATATTTTTTCCCAAGTGTCGTTCAGCTTCAAGTCGAGTTTTTGGGAAAGAAACAAGCAAGATGGAAAGTTCCAGAAAATCAGAAGAGCCATTAAAAATAACAAATATTTATGCTAACATTTTAAAAGAGATTCTGATTCTCTCCTCAGAGTTCTCCAAGCTACCAAGTGCCCCTTCTTCAGTGCCCACTCCCAAACTCCAGGAAGTTCATTCTGACCAGTTTTTACAAATGAGCAGTACCTATACTTTTAAGCAGCCCCTGTTACGTTTAAGTGCAACAGTGCCAATCCCTGTACCGAGGACTATACCTGTTAAAGCTGAAAGTCAGCAGTCTGACCGTTTACAATGTCGTACAGTGACACTAAATATTAAAGATTTTCCAGGTTCCATTTTCATACCGACGCCGGTTTTACCAAGGAAACCTCTAAGACAGTCTGTGATAGGTAAATCCAGTCTGAACATGGTCTGTAATAATGGGGTCAAGTAGAGCAAAAGGGAGAGAAGGCATCCAAGCATATGGTGGTTCCCCCTTGGGTCTGCAGAATGGGATGGTGGGATCCCCTTTCACCTGTACATTTAATATATGGGGCAGAATGCAGTAGCAGAAATCCTGACCTTGCAGGTCTGCCAAGGGCAAACTGGGAACTCCACCCAGATGGTGGTGATGGGAACCAGATAAAGCAGTTCAAAGGATCAGAAAAGCTCACATGAAGGAGGAGTGTGAATGAACAGTCGTCCGTAAGGTGGTCTAGATGAACTCTAGAAGCAGAATGCCAGTGCTCATGGATGCCTTCATGGGCACTTTTCCATGGATAACCTCAATTCATTAAAAGATGAACAATTATAATGAAGTCATAATACCCTCAACATCAATTTTCACACGAATTTAAACATTATCCTATTTTAAATTTTTTTCCTAGAAAGTCGTGTAACAGAATATGAACATGTAGAAAGTGTCCCAAAGCAAAGCGTGCTGAACGTATGTGAAGGTAAATGCTAGGTTTATATCATTCTTTTAAAAATTGTATATATGATTATCTCTCCATAAAAGTATTTGTGATTTTGTGTGTTTGTGTATATGTGTGTGATTCACACATATGTCCCACCTCATTTTCCATTCCTTAAGCTATTTACTCAGCAACTATTTTTAGAGTGTTGACTATAAACCCAACTTTGTACTGATGTTGGGAACATAAAAGATGGAGTATTCTTAATCTGGATGGAGAAGATAGACATGCAATCATGACAGTTAACTGCTTGCCATGTGCCAGCACTGTTTTAAGTGCTTTGACCTTAGTTACCTAGCAGAAACAAATGAAAAATCATCTTTAAAGAAAGATTACACCATCCTACATCTCACACTATTTCTATAAACAATTTCACAAATACAGTGTGTAGTAAACAATTCACAATTATCAGGTACACAAAGAAAAACAAAATGAATGAAAACTAGCAGAAATAGTAAGCAGTAGAAACATACCCACAGGAGTTCCAGCTATTAGAATGATCAGATTCAGATTTTTAAATAACCTAATGACTTTTGGTTCTAGCCAAGATTGAGTAGCTTGTATTGGACAATCCCTCCCACCAAAATCAGTTATTAAAGCTGCCCACAAATATATAAAATAACCATTGAGGTTACTGGAGAGTAACCCTTGCAAGCATGACTTGAGTGGTTACCATCTTTGAAATAAGCTGAATTAGCTGTACATTTACCTTGGCTTTTGCTTGAGGGGATTTGTGGTGTTGGAGAACAGGGCACAGGTAGAAAGAAGGTGATAGTTTTACTGGATTGAGGAGATAGCAGTCAGACTTCAGAGTTGACAAGATAGCTGGGATAGAGGGGTAATATATCAGAGAGGAGAGAACTGAATTCAAATATTTGCATACAAACTCCCTTAAGAGTGTTGGCTGATTTCTAAGCTGGGCATGTACAGGACAATACGCTAAGAAACACAGCTGAGATGCTAAGGAAGTGAGCCTAGATTTTGACAGTTGCACAGAAGACAATTATTGGAGTTCAAGCTCTGCTGAAATGAAGGGGCCTTGGTAAACACACTGGGCTTTCAGTTGCAGACCCAGAAGACCTATGCCTTGGGAATAAGAATGATGCTCTAGGAGAAAGGACAAAACTAAAATAGGTTATCCCCTACAAAACTCAAAACCAATCCTTGATAAATCAAAGTGGTACTTCCTGCCTAGTCAAAGAAAACCTAACACTTATTAGAGACAGATAATATTATCCAGACCCTTTAAAATTTTCATTCACAATGTCCAGCATTAAACTTAAAAATCACAAGGCATCCTAAAAACAGGATAAAAGGTCTGGAAACCAGTAGAAAGAGGCAGAAGAAAGAGAACCATAGGATCAGATATTGGGGTTTTCAAACAAGGAGTTTAAAATAACTATGATTACTATGTTGAAGAAAATAAAAAGTTGAAGAATTTTATCAGAGAACTGGAATTTCTGCTTTTAAAAATTAGAGTCATATAAAATTTTAGAACAGAAAAAGTAATATAACAAATTAATGATTCACAGATGTGTTTAGTAGGAGATTATACACAGAAGAACACTCCAGCCATAAAACTTTCTCTTTTTTCCCCAGTTGTATTGAGATACAAGTCACATGCAACTCTGTATAAAGTTAAGGTATACAATATAATGATTTGATACATGAATATACAGTATGGTGAAATGATTACCACAATAAATTCAGTTAATACCCATCACCTGACAACTTTTTCTTGCGACAAGAAATTTTAGGCTTCACTCTCTCAGAAACTTTCAAATATACACTGTAGTATCATTAACTACAGCAGCCATAAGACTTTCTGAGCACACTACCCTTCCAGCAGTTCCCTATCCCTGTCTGTGACATAAATTAACCACTGGGTCTCCTCCACATCATAGGCCTAAACAAGTCATGTTACCATTTCTGACTTAGGGAGTTTATTCCACTCTGGTGTTTCCCTCTTTGAAAAGTTCCCAGGGAAGTTTAAGCATCCTGAGATCCTTCAGAGATCTTTCAGGGAATTTCTAACCACCTCTGCACCTCCATCTCCCTCCTTTTCACTCAAAAATCAACTGCTTGAGCTTAGCCCATAAGTGTGGGTGGGCAGGAAGCAGGCCACAGACTTAATTCTTAACTCATTCTCCATTCCTCTTGCTCCATTCCCTCCCACAAGACAAGGAATCTCCATATCACATCATACATCTTTCTTCATTCTGTGGTTAACTTTCACATCGATTGACCTGAAATGGGCACAAAGGCCTATTTTAGAAATTAACAACTGAACATTGTTTTCTTTGGTCTAGGATGCCTCGTTTCTTCTCATTGAAGCAATGGTATAAGAATTATTGAGATGATAAAATATGTTGCAGCAAGTAATATAGCAAGAATGGCTGGGAGTGTAAAATATATTTCAAAATATTTTCCTGCCACACCTGGGTGTGTGCTTGAACATGCCATTTTTGACAAAAGGGGAAACCCACGAGGGTTGTGATAAAGTAAATGTAGGTTGTCGCTGTTTGGCTACTCCTGAGTTGTCTGCTTTCCCCCCCCCCCTTTCTTGTGTGAGGTCTTTAAACTGAGGGAAGAGCTTAGTTACACAGGGTATTTGAATCATGCATCAATGCGTTATTAAAGCAAAAAGCAAGATTTCTCCTTGGGATATGATCTCTATCTGAGATATGCTTATATGATGTCCTTTATTCATTTTGTGAAGAAAGAAGTTGTTTATGTAATTCATCATAAAATAAGATGTTTTTACATATAGCACAAGACTCAGACTGATGGAATCTAAATTATTGAGGTAGAAATCTATGAGCTTATGGTTTCTTTTGGGAAGAAAAGTTTGCTATCTAATATTAGTCTGCTATCTAATATTAAAATGTTTGGCCAACAGAACCAACTGAGGTTGGGTGGATGGAGGTTATAGGGAATCTCCAACGTGAGGTTGGGTGGGTGAAAGTTATGGGGAATCTCTTCCAAAGGAGGCATCCAGGTAACCTATTTGTGATGACTTACTGTTATCATAACATGAATACCTTTTAACTTTCACTCTAAGTGATGACACATTTACATTTCCTGTCTTGTTTTATTTAGGTAGCATTAAATCTAGAAAAATCGAAACCTCAGTGGCACATATCGTACATGGTGACGGTTTTAAGGCTGTTGTGGCAACACGCTATGGAACAGTAACAGCCGTGACCAAGCTGGCCATAGTAAACTGTCAAATTCATGGAAGAAATGCACTTAATCTTAAGGTATTGCTACATCTTCTCAATGGCAATTTCCTGTTGTATCATCGGTCATTTTTGTTTTACGTTTCCTAACTTAGGTTATTCTCCATGGTATTGAAGGAACAACATAAAGTGGTGGTGGCTGAGGGAGTGATGGAGTTGTATAGTAACAAAACTTTTGTGTGCTATTGAAGTTAACTTGGTATCAATCCAAACTAGATGTTTTAAATTTAGGATGCCGATCGTAATCTTCATGGTAGCCACTCCTAAGAAACTATCTTAAAAATGTACACAAAAGGGAATGAGAAAGGAATCAACATGACAGATTACAAAAAATTAATTAAACACCAAGGAGGCAGTAATGTAGTAAACGTGGAATAACAACAACAAAAATTCCAGAAAAGGCAAAACTATGGTGACAGTAAATATATCAGTGGTTGTAAGGGATTTTGGAGGGAGGGAGGGAAGGATGAATAGGAGGAACACAGGGGATTTTTAGGGCAGTGAAATTATTCTGTATGATACTGTCATAATGGATACACATTTCATTATACATCTGTCAAGACCCATAGAATATACAACAAAAGGTCTGAACTCTAACATAATTTACGGATTTGTGTTGATAATGATGTGCTAATGTTAGTCCGTTGATTGTGACAAATATACTGGTGTGTGAGATGTTGATGTCGGGAGATGTACTGGATGTGTGTGGGGAAGGGGTATGTGGAAAAGAAAGATCTCAAATAAGTAACCTAACTTTGCACTTTAAGGAACTTGAACAAAAGAGCAAACTACACCCAAAATTAGCAGAAAGAAGGAAATAAAGATTAGAACAGAGATAAATGAAACAGAGGATAGAAAAGCAATAGAGAGAATCAATGAAACCAAAAGTTAGTTCTTTGAAAAGACTGACAAAGTTGACCTTTGGCTAGACTAAGAAAAAATAGAGAGAAGGTCCAAATAAATAAAATCAGAAATGAAAATGGAAACATTTCTACTGGCTTCACAGAAGCAGAAAGGATTATAAGAGAATACTATGAACAACTGCATGCCTGCAAATTAAATATCCTAGATGAAATGAAACATTTTCTAGAAAAACATAAATTACCAAAACTGACTCAACAACAAATAGAAATTTGAGCAGACCTATAAAAAGTAAAGAGATTGAAAAAATAATCAAAACCTCCCAACAAAGAACAGTGCAGGTCCAGATAGCTTTATGGGTGAATTCTGCTAATCGTTTAAAGAAAAAGGAACATATATACTTCTCTAAATCTTCCAGAAAATAAAAGAGGAAGGAACACCACCCAATTCCACTGTTGTGCTGGTGGAGGGGGCGGGAATCCCACATCACCCAACAGTTCTTGGACACCAGCTGGGTGTCCTACAATTCAACTCAATTCTGACACTATCTACCCAGAGATAACATCAGATTCCACAGGTAAAGTGCTCAGTCCCATAAGACTGCTCTACACTTCAGACGCCAATCACAAGCCCAGGTGGTTACCTGTGATTCTGACCAACCACCTACAGACTGGAGGTTCCAAGGACCCCCTCCAACTCAGGATGCCAATCACAAGTTGTTACCTATAGTTCTGATCGACTGGCTATAAATCAGAAATTCCCACGACCCCTCCTGATTAATTCGCTAGAGTGGCTCACAGAACTCAGGAAAGCTATTTACTTACTTGATTACTGGTTTATTACAAAGGATATTAAGGGATGTGAATCAACAGTTATATGAAGAAAAACATAGGACATGGTATGAGGAAAGGGTGTGGAGACCCTACACCCTCTCCAGGTGCTACTCTCCCCAAATCTCCACGTGTTCACAGACCTGGAAGCTCTCCAAATCCTGTCATTCTGGTTTTTATGGAGGTTTCATTAATAGTATAATTGATTAAATCATTGGCCACTGCTGATTGAGCTCAGTCTTCAATCCCTTTCCCTCTTCAGAGGTGAGGGGATTGAAAGTTCCAACCTTCTAATCACATGGTTGGTTCTTCTGACACCCAGCCCCTTTCAAAAGTCACCTCACCAACATAAATCCAGTTGTGGTGGAAAGGGGTTTGTTATGAATAACAAGACACCCATTTCGCCTTTATGGTTCTGAAGCAATTTCAGGAGCTGAAGATAAGAGAATAAGTATTATGACAAAAGATGCTCCCATTGCTCTTATTGTTCAGGAAATTCCAAGGGTTTTGGGAGCTGGTAGCGAGGAACCATGGATAAAGTCCAGCTATATATGAAAAATATATTTTGGTCATTCAGATGACCAAATATATTTTTTAACAAGTAAAAATATCAACAACATATAACACATTTTATGCTATCAGTATAACCCAGATATCAAGGGAAGATAAAGACACCACAGGAAAACTACAGATCAATATCCTTTGTTAATTAATTAATAAAATTGCTAAATCCATGATAGGATTAAGAAAAAAAGAAACACTAAATACCAAATTCAAAATTTAAAAAGGGGAAATCACCACATTTCCTACAGACATTAAAATAGAAAATAATGAAATAATAAGAACAACATTTTCCCAATAAATGCAACAACTGTGATGAAATGGAAAAATTTTTTGAAAAACACAACTTGCTGAAACAGGCACAACAAGGACTAGAACATCAGAATAGTCTTGCACCTGTAAAAACCTAATTGAAATTTTAATTAAGAGCCTTCACACAGAGAAAGCTCCAGGCACAAACAGCCTCACTGGTGATTCTATCAGACAATGAAGAAGGAAATAATATCAGTTTAGGCTAACTCCTTCAGAAATCAGACGAGGAAGAACACTTGCTAACTCATTGTTTGATGCCTGTGTAACTCTCCTACTATCTCTTCAGATATTGCTCCTGTCTCATTCCTTTTGTCCTCTTCTTATCAGACTCCAGCTACATGTATCTTAGGCCTTTTCATCTTGTCCCATATATCCCTTACTCTCTTCCTGTATCCCTTTTACTCTCTGTGCTTTATTCTGAGCATTTTCTTCTTACCTAAATTCTGGTTCATTCATTCTCTTTTCAGCTTTGTGAAATCTGCTGTTAAACCTTTTATCAAGTCCTTAATTTTGGATGGTTTCTTTTATAATCTAATTTCTTTGAACTTTAAATTCTTTATCTTATAATTTGATTTTTCAAGGTTATTAATCACAGTTAACTTTTTTTTTGTTTAACACACCTGACGTATCCAAAACATGGACCTTCCATGGGCCTATTTCTATCATTTCTCTTGATTTTTGTCCAAGTATTATCTTTTTGCATGTCTTTTTATTTTTGATTGCATGATAGACGTTGTGTAGAAATAATTTGAGGCCCTAGATAATGTTACATTCTTCCAAAATTTTTTTATTGTTGCTTCTGACAGGCAAAGAGGCTAGGGGATGTTCATCTTAATCTAATCAAAATCAGCTGGTTTAATGCTGGACTTTAATTTTTGTAGAGATTTCCTGTTAAACTTCTTTCCTAAGGCTGTAGCCTTTTAGCCACCTCATATCAAGTCTGAAGTCCCTTCTCCTTGGGAAGCCCTGAATTCCAATTTTTGTCTCCCTAGCCCTGTGAGACTGGCTGTAGTTCGCCACCACAGCTTTGGATTAGGCAAATGACTTTTGGAGAAAAATAGTGTTGAGTGCTGTGTTTAACACCCTGAGATTCCCTTCTTTCTGGAATTTTGGCTTCTTAAGACCTAGCTACTTTAGTCATTCTCCAAGTCTTTGTTGTGTTGTGTTTGTTTCCCTTTTTGGTTTTAGTTGAAGGGCTGGTTTGAAACAAGGCTGTTGCCCATTAGTATAAGTGAAAAAATCAGATTATCTGGTTTTGAAGTGAATTACTTTATTTCTTTTTAAATAAATTTATTTATTTTTGGCTGCGTTGGGTCTTCACTGCTGCACACAGGCTTTCTCTAGTTGTGGCGAGCGGGGCCTACTCTTCATTGCAGTGCATGGGCTTCCCATTATGGTGGCTTCTCTTGTTTCGGAACACGGGCTCTAGGCTCACGGGCTTCAGTAGTTGTGGTGCATGGGCTTAGTTGCTCTGCGGCATGGGGGATCTTCCCGGTCCAGGGCTTGTACCTGTGTCCCCTGCACTGGCAGGTGGATTCTTAGCCACTGTGCCACCAGGGAAGTCCCAAAGTGAATTACTTTAAATCAGAGGTTGGCAAGGTTTTTCTGTAATGGGACAGAGAAGACTTTGAAGTCTACATGGTCTCTGTCACAACTAATCAACTCTGTTGTGTAGTATAAGAACAGCCATATTACAACACCCAAACTTAGAGTGTGGCTGTGTTCCAATAAAACTTTATTTATAGAAACAGGTGGCAGACTGTAGCTCACTGATTCCTGCTTTAAATCGAGGAAGAGTATATCTTCTAAAGAGTTAAATGGAGCTAGTCAAGAGAAACATCTACTTACACAGTCATCAATATTATTTTAAAAGAATATTTGACTCCAGAGTAGAATCCTGAGCTCTGTGGGGGTGATATAAAAGAATTAAAAGTAATAATTTCTAATCTATCTCATGGACTTATTAAGGAAACAGATTTTACATGAATAGAATTTACACAAAACAAATGTACTGATTAATTTAATACAGACTCAGTGCATCAATGCTTAAATGTTGCTAGAGCAATTCAAGAGATTGAGAAAGCCTCCACTTTCTTGGTGTTGTTTAATTCTTCACATCCTTATCATGGTAACTGCAGCAAACAGGTTTTATGATGGGATGGTAAAAGAGAGATCCAGCATACCTATGCTGGGCAGACCTCATAGTATATCCACAGTGAAGGTTCCTGGGATTCCATGAGGCAATGAGAAGGTCCTGGATAGTCACTCATTCAGCCAATATTTATTAATAACCCACTATGTACCCAGTGGTAAACTATGTATCTCATTATGTATCAGTGTGCAAAACAGAAAAATAATACCTATTTCATGGAGCTTATACTTTAGTGGGATGAGATCATACATACATACATACATACATTTATATATAGTCTGTCCTCTGGTGATAAGAGTTACGAAGAAAAATAAAGCAAGTGGAGGGGACAGAGAGCCATCAATGGGGCACTGGTTTGAGAGGTTGCTATTTGTGATAGGATGTGATGACTTATGGAGCAGAGAGCTGCCTATAAGCAACCTGTGAATGAAGTGAGAAGATACTTCATGAGAATAGATGGGGGAAGAGCTTTCCAGGCAGAAGAAAATGTAAAGGCACTAGTTATCTGAGCACACTTAGTGGAATGATTACAGACTCTGACAGACACTTTCCTGCTACATAATTTAGTGTACTACTAGTTATGTCGAGAAGAGATGAATGTTTGGTGACAGGAAGAAAGAACACGTACTCTTCTATAGGTGTATATGTCTACCAACATCTAGACATTTACAAATATTGATACTTTAATAAGAGGTCAGTCTTGAAACCAGTACTGTCAATTCGAAGATTCTTTAGCCATGAACCTCATCTCTCTCATACAGTGCATGCCATAACCCAATGCACTGGTAGCAATGCCTCCCTTCACTATAAGCTGAGGTTTGATCCTTCAGCATTAGAGTTCCTTGGTTCATTCAGTTGAACACTACTGATTCTATGATACTTAAGAAACAAACGTACCAACTTTACTGGAATATTAAAGATACTGGGGGCACTAAGCATGTCTTGGTCAATTTGGGCTGCTACGACAAAATGCCATAGAGTGGCTTAAACAAGGGACATTTACTTCTCACAGTTCTGGTGGCTGGGAAGTCTGACACTGAGGTGTCAGCCAATTTGGTTCCTGGTGAGCGCTCTCTTTTTCACAGCTGACTTTTTGCTGTATCCTCACATGCAGGGAGAAAGAGATCTCTGGTCCACTGTTCTTCTTATAAGGACACCGATTCCATCGTGAGGGCTCCATCCTTAAGACCTCATCTAACCCAAATTACTTCCCAAAGACTTCACTTCTAAATGCCATCATGTTGGGGATTAGAGATTCAACAAATGAATTTTGGGGGAACACGAACATTTAGTCCATAACAAAGGCATATGTTTTCCTCAATCAGAAACTGGCATATTTAAGCAAGAAACTTTAAGAAGATGTTAGATTAATAGAAAGATAACAGAGAAACAGAAGTATAAACATGAAAAAAAGAGGGGGTAAAGAGAATTAAATATAAAATATATTTAATGACTTATTTCAGCATGTAGTGGACAGTCAATAAATGTTTGCTTGTTATTAACTGAAATAATGCCTTTCACACATGTAACACTATATTTATTACATATGTAAATACTTAGTTTTTCTATTTTGTTTCTTTACATATTTAAGAAATTATTACCATGAAAGACTAAAATAAATGAATGGAAGATTATTATAGGCTTGTTATTAGGTCACACATTTAGATTATGTGCTCATTTTTTTAAACACTTGTATAAAATATTTTGTGCATGGTAAATAATTAATTCTTATCTTTTGTCACTTTCTTTTAGGGCTTTTTTCTCCTGAATTGTCCAGACCTAACACCTTTGGCTTTCCAATTGATATATCTTAATTTATCATATAATAACATCTGTTACTTTCCCACAGAAGTGAGTCCATTTTTATTATTGTATATATTGTCATAATTTCTTATTATTAATAATAATTTAAAAATAGACACTTATGATACCCTGGAGTTACTATAAATAAATATATTTTGGATTGTATCCTAAAAGGCTTATTTTTAGAAGTACCAAAAGTATAGTACATTTTTCTTAGCAAGTCCCATGACACAATCCTCAAAGACTGTGTTATGGTCAGGCTCCCAAATATGTTCTCATAATTGTACAACGTGTATAAAATTATTTATTTTTCTGATTCTGAATAAAACCTAAGATATACTTTATCCATGTTAATTGGAAGCTTTAAAGGCAATGTTTAGTGACAAGGTAATATGATGTTGTAACAAGTTTTAATTACAATAGGCTGAAATAGGATATTCTGCTTAATAAAACATACCAAGGATAATCAGATATGGGATGAGATGATTCAATGTCATTATATAAACAAGTCATTATAAGTAATTAGGACAGATTATGTTTTCAGTGTCTTTAGTCATTGTTTCATTGGTCATGGGGTGTTTTGTTGCTTTGTGAATTGATTTCCAGAGTATTAACTTTTAGTGAATTGATTTCTAGCAAATTGACTTGTTTTCTATTTCAAACATGTAGTATTGGAAACATATATTTTCCATAATTTCTATGATATTGTGTTTTTATTTTCACTAGAAGAGTTATTTGTTCTTTTCTAGTATATCACACTAGTTTTATTAATTTGACTAAGACAAGTTGACAAGAATTCCCAAGGAATATAGGGATCTTAGTTCTTCACATTAATTTTAACCTTTCTTCTAAACAGTCATATATGAGACTTGTGCATCTGCCAAAGAATACTCTAACCACTCAAGCAGAATGTATAACCATATGGGAGATTTTCAGGTGTAAAATATAAAACGCTCATTTTTAAAGTGATAGAAATAAGTAGAACTTGCCATTAAAATGCAGATCAGTGTTGTACAGCTATAGACAAAATGTTCCAATGAAAATGGCAATATCCAGGCTTGGAAGGGCCGTACTAGGGGTAGGCAAATGATGCCAAGCTATTAGCATAGTGTAAGTGAAATGAATAGAAGACTAGAGGCTGGCATACATGTGGTGATTGGACAAGTTTCATGGAAAATTCAAGATGGTAGACTCTGGCAGAGACAGAGCCTACTGAAATAGTTTAGGATAGGAAAAGGTAGAAGCAGAAATGGTAAATATAACAAACCATATAAATATATACTTGGTCTCCTTTCTTCTCTTAGCTTCTTTAAAAGACACAAAATCACATACAATAGTAATTAATTATAATAATGTATTGTTACGTTTGTAACATATATAGATATAATATGTATAACAATTATAGTACAAAAAAGGAAGAGGGAATAGAGCTATCTAGGAACAACATCTCCATATCTCACTGGAATTAAGTTAGTGTAAATCTGAAGTAGATTCTGGTAAGTCAAGGTGTATATTACAACCCCTAAAGCAATCACTAAGAAAATAACTGAAGAGAATACAGTGGGGAAAAAAATCATTAAAGTAATTAAAATGTTATACTAGAAAATATCCAGTTGATGCAAAAGAAGCCAGTAAAGGAGGAACAAAAATGACATGACATTTAGAAAACTATAAGTGACATTGTGATATAAATCCAACCATGTCAATAACATTAAATGTTAATACATGAAACAATCTAATAAAAAAATACAGTTGTCAGCCCCAGTGGTAGTCTGTCTAAAGGAGATACACTTAAGAGTGAAAGATCCAAAGAGGTTAAAAGTAAAAGTATAGGAAAAGATATATCATGCAAATAGCAATCATAAGAAAGCTGGAGTGACTATACTAATATCAGACAAAATAAATTTTAAAACAAAAAATGTCACTAGAGATAAAGAGGGACGTTTTGTCAATCTTTCAGGATGCTGTAACAACTATAAACATTTAGGTACTTAACAACAGAGCCCCAGAATACATGAAGCAAAAACTGAAAGAACTGAGGGAAGAAATAGAGAATTCAAAAATAATAGTTGGACACTTCAATACCCCACTTTCAATAACACACAGATCAACTAGACAGAAGATGAAAGTGAAATGGAAGACATGAACAACATTACAAACCAATAAGACCTAACAGACATTTATGGGACACTCCAACCAAAAGTAGCAGAATACATAACACTCAAATTCACGTGGAACATTTTCCAGAAGAGACCATAGGTTAGTCTACAAAAAATTTTAAAAAAAATTGAAAGTCACAGAAAGTATATTTTTGGGCCACAATGAAATGTAATTAGAAATCAGTAGTTGAAAGAAATTTGGAAATAAATGGAAATTAAGCAACACACTCTTAAATAACCAATGAGTCAATGAAGAAATCAAAAGGGAAATTAAAAATTACTTTGAAATAAATAAAAATCAAAACACAACAATCCAAAATTTATGGGATGCATCTACATCAGTGCTCAGAGGGAAATTTACAGCTATCAGTTACTATATTAAAAAGGAAAAAATCGAAACCTAACATTCCATCTTAAGCCACAAGAGAAAAAGAGCTAAATAAATCTAAAGAAAGAATAAGGAAGGACATAATAAAAATTAGTGAAACAGGGAACAGAAAAACAATGTCAGCAAAATCTAATACCGTTACTTTGAAAAGATCAACAAAATTGACTAACCTGACATAAACTGACCAAGAAAAAATGAAGATTCAAGTTACTAATATTAGGAGTGAAGGATGGGATATCATACCAACCTTACAGAAAATTTTTAAAAAGATTTGAAGAGAATACTACAAATAACTGTATACCAGCCAACTAGATAATGTAGATGAAGTGGACACATATTTAGGAAGACACAAGAATGGACTCAAGAATAAATAGAAAACCTGAATGGTTCTATAAAAAAAGAAAGAGTTTCAGTAGTAATTTTTAAACTTTCCTCAAAGGAAAGTCCAGGATCAGATAGCTCCATTGGCGAATTCTGCCAGATGTCTTAAAAAGAATTAACACCAATCCTTTACAAACTCTTATGAAAAATCGGAGAAAATGTTCTCATTCAAACTATGAAACCAGTAATACCCTGATACCAAAACTAGACAAAGATATAGAAAGAAAAGCAAACTACAGAACAATAGCTCATGAATATAGATGCAATAATCCTCAACAAAATGCTAGTAAACCAAACTCAGCAACATATAAAGAGGTTTTCCACCATAACCAAGTGAGACCTATTCCAGGAATGCAAGGATGGTTAAACATACAAAAATCAATCAATGTGATTCCACATTAATATAGTGAAGGGTTAAAAAAAACTATACAATTATATCAACAGAGACAGAAAAATCATTTTACAAAATCCAACATACTTTCATGACAAAAGCATTCAACATCTATGCATAGAAGGGGGGCATCCTCAACTTGATAAAGGGTGTCTACAAAAAACCCATAGCCAATACCATACTTAATGGTGCAAAACTGAAAATTTTCTTCCTAAGATCAGGAACAAGATGAAGATGTCTACTCGTGTCACTGTGTATTGTACTGGAGTTTCTAGCCAAGACAATTAGACAAGAAAAAGAAGTAAAAGGCATTCACGCTAAAAAGGAAGGAGTTTAAACTATCTTTTGTTGTAGCTGATACAGTCTTATATATAGAAATCCTAAGGCATTCACCAAAAACTATTAGAACTAATGAGTGAGTTAATCAAGGGTGCAGTGTACAAGATCAATATACAAAAATCAATTGTATTTCTACATACTGGCAACAAACAATTCTGACAATAAAATTAATAAAGCAAATCTACTTACACGAAAAAGAAGAAAATACTTAGAAGTTTAACAAAAGCACAAAACTTATACTGTGAAAACTACAGATCATTGTTAAAAGAAATTAAAGAAGACATAATTATATGACAAGACATCCCATGTTCATGGATCTGAAAACATTGTTAAGATGGCAATACTTGCAAATTGATCTACAGATTCATTGCACTCTCTATGAAAATTACAACTTGCCTTTTTTTCAGAAGTTGACAGGCTGATCCTAAAGTTCATATGGAATTGCAAGGGATTCCAAATAGCCAAAACAATCTTGAAAAGAAAAAACAAACTTGGAGGACTTAAACTTTCTGATGGCAAGAATAAGCATGCTCTACTCCACCAATTTTAAATCTTCATGATATAAAAAGTTTTAATTTAATGTTAAAGAGAGCTAATGTAAAAGCTTGTTAAGATTCACTAGAAAAGAAGAAATATATAAATCAAGCAAAGATTGTGGATTTAAATGGCATACTCTATTTTTAAATTTCATATGAAAAATCAGTTATTTACAAATTACTGTGATATCAGAGTGAATCGAGCTGGGTATGATATCAGACACCCCATGATTGCTACGGTTAATTCCACTTATTTTCTTGATTCTGCAGGTATCTCCTACATTCCTCATTCTTGACATGGTTGCCTCTTATGAAACCGTGAGCTTGATCAAACAGCATGATTTTCCCATTTAGAAAAGGAACATTCTTGAGTCAAGGGTATATGAGTACAGTAGCTGCACTATCTTACCATATCATACATATGAATGCTGGTTAGTTATTTTCAGGGCTTACCAAAGGTATTTACTGAGATATATGACACAGCCAATTAGTGTTACCATACTGATTTGACTGCATTAGTTCAAAGGGTTTATAAAATGTAAAAAATAAGGATTCGCACACTTTAGTATTCTACTCATGCTATTTCTCTTTTCCATTTTTCAGATATTCTGTCTTAAAAATTTACAAATACTGAATCTGAGAAATAATCCTATCAAAGAAATCCCTTCTACAATTCAACAACTTAAGTTCCTTAGAACTTTCAACATCGCCTTTAATTTGATTACTATGCTTCCACCTGGGTAAGGTTGATAGTCTGAGATTCTAAACACAGAAAATAAAGAGCATGTAATTTAGAAAAGGATCAATTTCCCTTCTGAAAGCAGCTAGCTACTTTTTAGCCATTTGATAATTTTTATTCAGTTCCAGTTAGCTGATTTGCTTCTAATTACTGTGTTAAAAAAAAAAAAAAAAACCTACCAGCTACATAGATGGCAATTAATCTGGGGCTAGTAAATACATATCTAGACATCCATTATCTGAGTATGGAATAAGTCATATAAAGAAGCTCAGGTGAGAAACTTACACCTATCCCTTGGTAGCCTTTTTGGATATCGAAAGAACTCTGAACTTGGAATTAAGAATTCTAGCCTTGGGACTTCCCTGGTGGCGCAGTGGTTAAGAATCCGCCTGCCAATGCAGGGGACATGGGTTTGGGCCCTGTTCTGGGAAGATCCCACATGCAGTGGAGCAACTAAGCCTGTGCACCGCAACTACTGAGCCTGTGCTCTAGAGCCCGCGAGCCACAACTACTGAAGCACATGTGCCTAGAGCCCATGCTCCACAACAAGACAAGCCACTGCAACGAGAAGCCCACACACCACAACAAAGAGTAGCCCCTGCTTAACACAACTAGTGAAAGCCTGCACGCAGCAGTGAAGACCCAATGCAGCCAAAAATAAATAAATAAATAATAAATAAATTTATTAAAAAAAAAAGATCGAGAATAAAAAAAGAATTCTAGACTTTTAACTTCAAAGTTGAGAATTATCTATTTGATCTGGAGAAAGACACAAGTCCATTCTAGGCCTCAATCTCCTAATCTATGAACTAAGAAATTACCTGTATGATGTCTAAGATCCTTTAAACTCTAATAGGAATGTTGATATCCAGGTATAAAAGAGATGGATTTTTTCCCCACATATGGACTGGTAATTATTTAAGTCTTAATGAAAGTTTTGAACCAAAACCTTAACCAAATGCCAAAACAAGATATCTCTTCCAGTTAGATTTTAACAAATTGAATGTAGGTTAAGGGCAAAAAGTTAAGAGCACAGGGACTCTTAAATAGTTGAATAACATTTTGCAAAAGAAGGTTCTTATAGTAATTAAGAAAGTGCATCAAAATTCATTTATAAAACTGTTCATCCAGCATTGTTTGTAATTAACAATCCAAGATCTACATTTAAAACACTGTAAAACTATTCATTTTGAAAAATTAAAAAGTATATAAAAATTATATTTCTGTGTAAAAACGCTTATATACACATCAAGTGTATTTAAAAAGAAAGAATAAATACTAAGTAAAGATATTGCATTATGAGTTTTATTTTTGTTTGACTCATCTATCTTTCCACAGTAACATAAACTGTACTGCCTTGATTCCCTGCCTTGATACTAGAATCAGCCATTTCTCTTAGGAAACCCTATTTCCTTTTTATTGGAGGATGGTATTTAAAAAACAAGACCTGGGTGCTGGATATTCCCACTGCTATTGGGATGATATTGCTTCTAGACACTCTCAGTGGACAGAGATAGATAACTTATGTATGTATACTAATCTGTGTACACACATTTGTTTCTGTGTATACACACACACACGTACATCTATGTACACACACCTCACTCCCTGAAGTTATGAAGCCATAACTGTAACAAAAGTTTTTAAAAAAATGCTCTTATCTTTTTCTCAGTGGATACCAGGAGGAAAATGACATAGAAAATTACTACTTTTAACTAATAGAATCAAAGTTTTGCCTTGTTTTGGTTCAGTTTAATTAGCCAGCATGTTCTTTGGGAAAGAGAAGCTGTTTGGAATAAAGAATTTAAGAACATACTTGTGAACCCTGAAGTAAGAGCTGATTCTAAAAATGCACAAATTTATTTTCCCATATTGGTATTGATTAAAGATAGGGATTGAATTACTTTGTATCCATATACCTGAAGAACAGGGAGTACTAATTTGATTTCATACTGACTTGGATAAACTACTTAACTTCTTATAGCTTCCTTTTTGTTTTTTTACAGTTCTTTTTTTAAAAAATATCTTTATTGGAGTATAATTGCTTTACAATGTTGTGTTAGTTTCTGTTGTACAACAAAGTGAATCAGCTATAAGTATACATATATCCCCACAGCCCTTCCCTCTTGAGCCTCCCTCCCATCCTCCCTATCCCACTCCTCTAGGTCATCACAAAGCATGGAGCTGATCTCCCTGTGCTATGCAGCAGCTTACCACTAGCCATCCATTCTACATTTGGTAGTGTATATATGTCAATGCTACTCTCTCACTTTGTCCCAGCTTCCCCTTCCCCCCACCACCCCCCCCCATTTTCTAAGACTGTGTCTTTATCCCTGCCCTGCCACTAGGTTCATCAGTACCATTTTTTTTAGATTCCATACACCTGTGTTAGCATACGGTATTTGTTTTTCTCTTTCTGACTTACTTCACTCTGTATGACAGACTCTAGGTCCATCCACCTCACTACAAATAACTCAATTTCGTTCCTTTTTATGGCTGCGTAATATTCCATTAATATGTGTGCCACATCTTCTTTATCCATTCATCTGTCGATGGACACTTAGGTTGCTTCCATGTCCTGGTTACTGTAAATAGAGCTGCAATGAACATTGTGGTACATGTCTCTTTTTGAATTATGGTTTTCTCAGGGTATATGCCCAGTAGTGGGATTGCTGGGTCGTATGGTAGTTCTATTTTTAGTTTTTTAAGGAACCTCCATACTGTTCTCCATAGTGGCTGTATCAATTTACATTCCCACCAACAGTGCAAGAGGGTTCCCTTTTCTCCACATCCTCTCCAGCATTTATTGTTTGTAGATTTTTTTGATGATGGCCATTCTGACTGGTGTGAGGTGATACTTCATTGTGGTTTTGATTTGCATTTCTCTAATAATTAGTGATGTTGAGCATCTTTTCATGTGTTTGTTGGCAATCTGTATGTCTTTGGAGAAATGTCTATTTAGGTCTTCCACCCATTTTTGGATTGGGTTGTTTGTTTTTTTGATATTGAGCTGCATGTGCTATTTGTATATTTTGGAGATTAATCCTTTGTCAGTTGCTTCATTTGCAAATATTTTCTCCCCTTCTGAGGGTGTATTTTCATCTTGTTTATGGTTTCCTTTGCTGTGCAAAAGCTTTTAAGTTTCACTAGGTCCCATTTGTTTATTTTAAATTTTATTTCCATTACTCTAGGAGGTGGGTCAAAAAAGATCTTGCTGTGGGCTTCCCTGGTGGCGCAGTAGTTGAGGGTCTGCCTGCCGATGCAGGGGACACGGGTTCGTGCCCCGGACCGGGAGGATCCCACGTGCCGTGGAGCGGCTGGGCCCGTGAGCCATGGCTGCTGGGCCTGCATGTCCGGAGCCTGTGCTCCACAGCGGGAGAGGCCACAGCGGTGAGAGGCCCGCGTACCGCAAAAAAAAAAAAAAAAAAATCTTGCTGTGATTTATGTCAGAGTGTTCTGCCTATGTTTTCCTCTAAGAGTTTTAGAGTGTCTGGCCTTATATTTAGGTCTTTAATCCATTTTGAGTTTATTTTTGTGTATGGTGTTAAGAAGTGTTCTAATTTCATTCTTTTACATGTAGCTGTCCAGTTTTCCCAACTCCTGTTATTGAAGAGGCTATCTTTCCCCCATTGTATATTCTTGCCTCCTTTGTCAAAGATAAGGTGACCGTATGTGTGTGGGTTTATCTCTGGGCTTTCTATCCTGTTCCATTGATCTATATTTCTGTTTTGGTGCCAGTACCATACTGTCTTGATTACTGTAGCTTTGTAGTATAGTCTGAAGTCAGGGAGCCTGATTCCTCCAGCTGTTTTTCTTTCTCAAGTTTGCTTTGGCTAGTTGTGGTCTCTTGTGTTTCCATACAAACTGTAAAATTTTTTGTTCTAGTTCTGTGAAAAATTCCACTGGCAATTTGACAGGGATTGCACTGAATCTGTAAATTGCTTTGGGTAGTATAGTCATTTTCACAGTGTTGATTCTTCCAGTCCAAGGACATGGTATATCTTTCCATCTGTTTGTATCATCTTTGATTTCTTTCATCAGTGTCTTATAGTTTTCTGCATACAGGTCTTTTCCCTCCTTAGGTAGGTTTATTCCTAGGTATTTTATTCTTTTTGAACACTCTCATTTACCACTGCAAGGAATCAAGGTAGCTTCCATTTTTTAAATCTGTAAATAATATTAACAATATTGCTGTGGTCCAATGAAAGACCATTCTAAACTGCCACAAACACATAGTAGGCTCTCAATAAATAATATTTATGTTGCTGTGGTGGTGATTAATGTTATGACATGCAAATATTAATGCTAGCACAATCTCCCAAGCCAACAGCAAGTGTCTAGTTTAAGCATCTCATTGCTCAATATGCTGATAAATAAAACAATGAAATAAATGTAAAACCTTCTATACACCCTGAAAATTGTGATAGATTTGTTGCTAGTGGGGTATAGAGTATCAAACGAAACTAAGGCTGTCTAAACAAATGTGCTCTCTAAAATCATATATAGATGAGATAAATTTCAACTCTAGAGCCTATGAAATTTCTTAATTAGCTTTCTCAGTGCTGTCTACAAGCCCAATTAAACATCACAATCAACAGGAATTTATCATCAACAGTGAAAGCCTAGAACCAGACTAGTTTGCTTGTACTGAAGTAATAAGGGAATACAAAATGACTCTAGAAACTGCCTAAGGCAAGAAAATGAAATAACATAATTTTGAATTAAAAAAATGGAACAGATGGTACTAATATTTTCTTTACAGAGGTGGAAAAAAAGTCTGAGATGAACACTGAACTGAAAAGTTTTTTTTTTTTTTTGCTTTTCTATTCAATCTCATTACTTTCCCAGAGCAAATGATTTTGTATTAACTGGGGTCACCATACCTTTTATTCAATTGTGATTTCGTAAGCACTTTTGATGTGCTAGGCACTGGCCAAAGCACTGGATATACAGAAATGTAAAATAGAATCCTTGGCCTCCAGAATGTCATAGTTTAGGAGACATTTATTACACAGTGTGATAAATTCTATGATAGTGGTAAGCACAGAAGTACAGAAGAGGCAGCTCACCTATTCTGAAAGATGCAGGAAGAGTTCCTTGGAAGAGGTAACATCTAAGCCAAGACTTAAAAAATGAAAGACACTGATCAAATTTGGGGGAACTGGAGATATGTGAGAACTGGGCTAATTCAGGGAAATTCAGCAAATAAATTCTGGGCCTGAGGTGAATGTCGGGTAGTGTGAGAGGTGAGTTGAAAGAGTAGTCTGGGGACAGATCATGAGGACCATTATAATCCACACTAAAGTAGTACGAAGTTAATGAAATATTGTGCTCATGATGCCTTAGTTAATAATCATGCAAGTAATTTTTCATCCTTTAAGGAAAACAGGAAGGTATTTGAGAAGAGCATTCACAAAGAGGGGAATATTTACTAGGGATTTTGGTAAATGTCATACTTCAATTCCAGTCTCCAAGAAGCAACTCCCACTCCCACCCCCCAGGAGACAGGACTCTCTGCGTTAGCCTTTGTGTTCTTTGGTTCTTACTTTTAAGTACTTTGCTTAATAGAAAGAAAGACCAAAGATATTTCACCAGGAAAATCTTAATGCAACTGCACTGGGTTGAATGGTGCCCTTCAAAAATTCATGTCCATGCAGAACCTTAGAATGTGATCTTATTTGGAAATAGGATCTTTGCAGATGTAACTAGTTAACATGAGGTCATACTGGATTAGGGTGGGATTAGGGTGGGTTCTAAATCCAATAAATGGTGTCCTTATAAGAAGGCCATGTGAAGACAAAGGTGGAGATTGGAGTTATGCTGCCACAAACCAAGGAACACCAAGGATGGCTGGCAACTACCAGAAGCTAGGAGAGGGGCAAGGGACAGTTTCTCCCTCAGAGCCTCCAGAGGAACCAACTCTGCCGACCCCTTTATTTCAGACTTCTGGCCTCCTGTATTGTGAGAGAATAAATTTCTGTTGCTTTAAGCCACCCAGATTGTGATATTTGTTATGTCAGCCCTAGGGAACTAATAGAGGTGGTTTTTTCTAGATGGGGATTTACCAACTCTAAACATTTCAAACCAGTCTTAAGGGATAGATGAATCATTTTTAGGAAATTTCATTGTAATTATACCATCTATAATTTAAAAAGAAGTCTATAAGTTGAAAAATCTTAGAAAAATACAGTTTCCCTATGCTTCTATTTACTGAAGAATTAAATTCTTTATTAATGCCCAGTAACTGTAAACATATAATCATTTTCTCTTTCTATTTAAGGTTATTTTGCTTGTTTAATCTTGAGGAACTTGATATTTCCTACAATAGTATTGCTTTTATTCCAAATGAAATCCAGAAACTCAGGTATTTTGGAAGTAGTAAGTACCCATAAGACATATGTCCCTTAAGGATATATTAGGTGATGATTGTGATGGATAAAATTGAGTCCTTTCATTTATTCAATAGCCATAAAACATAATATGTGAAGCATAAGGTTTACCAAAATGTAAATTGAATGACTGGTGTTTAGTATTTTTAAGACATAACATTTTCAGTAATTATTTAAAAGCTAGTATTGATGGCCACCTTAACAGAATGACAAGCTGCTTTTGTCCATTCATCCATGTGTGCACGTGGAATTCTTATCAGTTGATTTTTTTGTAAGGAAATACATATACACAAAATGCTAGTAATACACAGTGCTTTAATACTAAGATCTGATTCTTTCTTGTGCTAATTTCTAAAAAGTCTCTGAAGTTGATCTCTGACCTTCTAGGTCAGTACCATGCTATTTTGATTATGACTTTAGAATAATTTTAATAAGTAGTATGGAGATTGTTTTTCAATAATAGTCTCAACTAGTCTCTTTAGATTATGATCTTTAAAATCATTTAATATCATTCTAAGCCCCTCCTCCCCCCAAAAACATACAATTGTGTTGCTACTATGAATGTAATATTTTCTGTAATTTCCATTTCTAGTTGACTATCGCCAGTGAGAATAGAGAAATAAAGAATACAACAGAATAGAGAAGAGCTATTTACTTCTTTACATTTTAAAATCAAACTATGTAAAAAATTATCTTGGTTCTGATTGAGTTTTACTAGATTTTATTTGCTTTCTAGGAGGATTATCTTATCTTCAGTAAAATGAGTTCATTTTGTTTCTGCTTTCTAATATTTATACCAATTATTTAATTTCCTGTGTAACAATCTTTGTACTTTAATAGAATGCAGCCTGTTCATATTTGTTATAATTTTTTACCTTCTGTTTTACTTTGTATTTACTATTTATTCACTTTCTCCTTTTCATATTTCTTTTTTTTGGGGGGGGGAGATTTTTTTCAGGATTCTATCTGTTCTCTTTTTTTCTCCCTTGTTAATTTTGGAACTCCACTGAACTTTCTGAGTCTATTGCAGACTATCTTTCCTTCCCCAAAATTCACAAACACATTTTTCTTTAATATTTTATAAAAGCAAGATAAAAGCTTCCCCCAGTATGATGGTCTGTTTCCCCACTGCTGCCTTCCACCAATAGTTGAGACCTTTACCTGAATGAAAAAAAGTACGTGTTAATGTTTAATTTGTCTATGAAAATAAATTCTTTCTTTGTATCACTGTACTACACTATATTATATTTTATATAGTGTAACATTCATTCTTCTGTTTGTGATTATTTCTTTTTCCATAGCGATGACTTGTTGCAAAGACCCAAAATATGTGCTTTAACTCTACTATTTACACAAATGCACTTATTTCCATGATAATATATTGGTTTGGTTGCTTTTTAGTTAATTCTCTTGATTTTAAGGAAATACTTAACACATATTACTACTAAGTTTTATACCAATTTTTGGGAACACTGGGACAGATTTCTTCTTCTATCTTTTAAAATATGGTTTCCTTTATTTGCAGATCACTTGAAACACTGATCGCTGATGGAAATGAACTGACTAGTTTTCCACATGCAATTTTGAAGCTTAACCTGAAAAAAATCCTATTTGAGAATAATTTCACTCATCCTAGTTTTTGGAAGGAGAATTCTATGAATAGTCCACAACGTCTTACTCAACTCACTTCTTTGTTCTTTTTAAAGAATAATCTACATAAATATTATAATGTGATCCCAGTGGAAATTCAAAAGTTACTAAAATGGTGAGCAAATTCTGAAGCTCTTTTTACCAAGACACACTTTTAGGGTTTAAAATATTCTTTATTACAGGGCCAGATGATAGTTTTACCATACACACACACACACACACACACCACCACACACCAAAACATCCATGCAATCTTTCAGACTGCTCCTTTGGGCTCTTCAGGCATAATGCTGTAGTCTGAATTCAGCCCACCTTCTCATGTTATTACTTAAATCCAATGTGAGGTACAGATTGCTGGGGTATAGTGGCAATATCTATACAGTTGTAGTATAAGTCTTTTCTATGAACCCCTAAGGACAAAGAAGGGGATTCTTCCAGAAAACGATTCTTTAGTGCCAGGCACACTATGAAGGGAAATGCTTTATTCTACTCTAACTTCACAGAGACGAGGAATAGAGCAGACACACACAGGGCAACTTCTCTTCCTCAGGGGTCGAAAGCCAGTGTGGGAATTATTGCCTCTCTCAGGACTAGGATTCTCAAAGCCCACACACTATGAGTCCACTCAGGCTCACCTCTTATTTCCTTTCAGATGGTGTAAAACTATTTTTTACTGCACTACCGATGATCAGTGCTTGTATTGCTGATATAACTTTTTTTTTTTGGCTGTGCTGCATGGCTTGCGGGATCTTAGTTCCCTGACTAGGAATTGAACCCAGGCCACAGCAGTGGGAGTGCTGAGTCCTAACCACTGGACCACCAGGGAATTCCCTGATATAACAAATATTTGTTGTATGTCTAAGTAAAATGGTTTTCCAGGAGTATATTAGTCAACAATATTGATTGAATAAAAGAAAACCTGAACAGACTAGTAACCATTGGAGAAACTGAAAAAGTAATTAAAAATCTATCAATAAAAAAAGGAACCAGGTGCCAAAGTTTTCAATTTTAATGCACTATGTCAACGTTTATGAGTTTGAATGCGCATGAGAAAGTAAGAAAATCACCGAGGACAAAAACATTTAAAAAGAATTAAAACCTAACTAGTGACTGTAAACATATATGGGACCAAGAGATTTGAATTCACCACAAAGTAGGGAAGCTGAAAATGGTATTCCTGAGTGAAATCTGTACCGCCAAAGGGGCTGGTGGCCCCAGAGCAGTGAATACTTCTCTTTCAGTAGAACAAATGTTTTTGAGAGAAACATCCTCAATTTAGACATTAAAGATTCCAGAAAAGTAATTTCAAATGAATATTATCTCAAAATTAAAACTTTCAAATACATGAGGAAATAAACCACCAAGAGTAAAAATTAGCACAATCAACAGATATGAATCTCCAAGGATCCAAGATACTAGAATTGTTGACAGAATATGAATTACCTTCTTTAAGAGTTTAAAGAAGTAAGATATAATTTTTTAAATGGTTAAGGAATAAAAGACCATCAAATATGACCAGGCAAATAAGAGAAAGAAATTTTAAACACAATTAAATTCTAGAGACTAAAAGTGTAATAGTTGAAATTGGTGCATGGGTTTAACAGACAATTATCCACATATGAAGAGAAATCTGGAGAAATTATTGTGTGTATGTGGACAGGAGGCAAAGAGACACGGACAGTAAAAGGAGAAAACTTAACATATCCTTAGAGTCCCAGAGAATGTTGGGAGTCATTGTTCAATGAGGTAGTGACTGTAAATTCTCAGAAGTGATGAAAGGAGTGAATTCACAGAGATTGAACACTCTACACAAGCCAAGTAAAACACCTTGTGGTGAAAGTGAAGAACACCAAAGACAAAGACTTAGAAATCAGCTGGAAAAAAAGTCACTTACAAAGAACAACAAATAAACTGCTAGCAACAATGGAACAATAACTGAAGAAATGTTATTTAGCCCAGCAAAACTAACTTTCAAGAACAAGGGAGAAAAATGGATTTTCATATAATAAAACAGAGAATTTATTCCCCACAGATTTTCACTTTAGTGAAATGAAACTTGCAACAAATGTGCATCAGAAAGAAGGAAGATAACTCCAGAAGTATGTTCTGAGATGTAAGAAGGGATGGAGGGAAAAGAAATTAAACAAATATGATCTCTACGACCTATAAAGTAATAGTAACAACAAAGTCTATGGTGTGGTGTTAAAAAGAAGACGTAACTAAAATCAGACATCAAACAGTTAGAAATGTGATTTTTAAAAAGATACCTTTTATGATAGCAATAAAAAACATAATGTACCTAGGAATACATCAAGTGAAGTATGTCCAAGATATTTATGGAGAAAAAGATTGCAACTTTACAAAAAGGTAAAGAAGGCTGAATTAAATGGGAGGGATACACACACTCAGGTATAATAAGATTTAATACCAAAAATATATCAGTTCTGGGCTTCCCTGGTGGCGCAGTGGTTGAGAGCCCGCCTGCCGATGCAGGGGACACAGGTTCATGCCCCGGTCCGGGAAGATTCCACATGCCGCGGAGCGGCTGGGCCCGTGAGCCATGGCCAATGAGTCTGCGCATCCGGACCCTGTGCTCCGCAACGGGAGAGGCCACAACAGCCAGAGGCCCGCGTACAGCAAAAAAAAAAAAAAAAAAAAAAATATATATATATATATATATATACAAATATAGATATATAGAGATATATAGATAGAGATATATAGAGAGAGATATAGATATATATATCAGTTCTCCCCAAATAGAGCTATAGATTCAATGCAATTCTGGTCAAAATCTGAACAGAATTTTCTGAGAAACTTGATAAGCTGATTATAAAATGTGTATGGAAAAGCAGAGACTCCAAAATAGCCAAAGCAAGCCTGAAAAAGGAGCCTAACATTAGGCACTTGCCTATCAGATATAAAGACTTATAAAATTAGAGAAATACAGTTGATATTACATGCAAGGAAAGACAATCTAACCAATGAAGAATACATAGCTCAGTTATGTTCTCATGTACATGTGAAACTTGACGTTGGACAAAAATAGCACTGTGGATCAGTAGGGAAAGGAGAGACTTTTCAATAAACGACACTGAAACATCTGATAATCTATAAGTAAGAAGTATATAATTATGTTTCTGCTATGTATATGTTACCATCATTTACAAAATCATTTCCAGTTGGATTAATGACTTAAATATGAAAAGCAAAATTTTAAAGCCTTAACAAGCAAGTATAGGAGACTATCTGTATGACTTCAAGGTAGAGAAAGATACCTTAAACAAACCTCAAAAATATAAACAGTAAAGCAAAGTTTCATAAATTTGACAAAAGATGTTTCTACATAATATTATAACCATCAATAATATTAAGAAGCAAGCTATTAACTGAAAGAAGATATTGCAATGCTTATAACTGTTTAAACATATATCTCCCACAAATCAATAAGAAAAGATATAACCCATACGAAAGTGGTTAAATGATAGGAATATGCAATTCATGGAAGACAATACATAGATAGATGATAAACATAAAGAATGTTACATCTCTCTAGTAACCAAGGAACTGCAATGTAAAATAGCAACAATAGGGCTTTTTACCTGTTTTATCAAAATTAAAAAGATTGATATTAAGTGTTGCCCTTGCATGCCCAGAAACAAGATTATCACACACCATTGGTGGCACTGTCAGGTTGGTGGAAGTTTTGTGGAAGGTTAATTTGACAGTATCTTACATATTCCTTAAAACAGAAATTTAAATTTTAGTAATATGTCTTATAGAAACAGGTATATGTGAACACACAGTTAGGCAGAGGGATGATAACTGCAGACTAAGTGTGCATCAATAAAAAAGTGGTAAGATAAAATGGTGTATTCGTATTTTGGAACATTATGGTGCTGTTAATAAGAATGAAGTAAAACAAAATGTATTGACACAGAAAGCTGTCCAGAGCATCTTGTTAAATCAGAAAAGCAAGCTGTATGTACAGACACATACAGAGAGAACACATACACAAGAGAGATTCCATTTATGTAGAGAAGAGTCATGTGTCTGGGAGCTAGAGGGAACACCACCAATATGAGCTTTAGTTATTCTGCAAAGGGGAGTTAGAATGATTTAAAGGAGGAATAAAGGGGAAATTCTGTGCTTTTTTTCCTGTATGTATCTATATTTTTTTGGAAATTTTACAAGGATGGGTTTTCATGTAAATAAAAAGTGACAAATGAATTACAAATAAAAGGGGCTAGGGAAGGAAAGATTACAACTACAGCTGGGAAAATAGGGAAAAGATTTAGGAATGAAACGGTGTTTGGAAAGAGTCTTAGAAGAACAGGTAAAATTTATATATTTGGAAATATGTGTTGTATTGAAGAGACATTCCAGGGAGAGGGAACCAAGTGGGGAAATGAACCGAAGCTGAGTAAAAATAGGAACGTGGGCAGAGAAAAGTGAATGTCCAGCCAGAACAAAACATCTATGAAGAGTAGCAAAAAGTAAGTTTAAAAAGGAAGGTTAGAGCTAGCTTATGGAGACCACTGATGGGGTCTCTTCTTTAGGCCATGGGAGCCATTGCAGGTGATAGCAAGACCTGGCAGTAGTGTCGAAGATGGGCTAGAGTAGCGGAAGGCTGGGTGGAGCTCACTTAAAGCGCTCTTGTAACTGGTAAGGGGAGATTAAACCAAAGTAATAGGCATAGGAGTAAATGGGTAGGAAATGACACAAGACAAATTATGAAGGTAAAATGAACTCAATGGCTGCCTGAGTATGTGAGGCAAGTAAAAGAGGGAGGAGTAAAAACGATGAGGGGTTCAATCTCATCAAGGACAACTGTCATATTAATAAAGAAACAACGAAGGAGGCATTTGTCACCCAACCCCACCCTCATCCTCTAACGTCTACTCTTGGCTTTGATCCTTAATTTCCAACCTCCGTCCCAAGTACTATGTTTGCTGAGTCTGGATGGTGGCTCAGCTCTGGGCTCTGTACAACGTCTGCTCCTAGGCTGCTCCAAGCCCAGCTTCTGCCGCTACCCCAGTGATTTGGGCCCTACCCATTAGCAGCTGTGAGCTTCTTTTTTGACCCCTACAACTTCTCTTTGCATTTTGCCTCCCT